TCCTGCCGGACCCCCGTGGCACCTCCACCGAGACTTGGAGAGGGGCTGAGGGAGCTGGGGGACGGGCCGCTCCGGCCACCCCGGTCCCCGCTACCACAGTGGCCCCACTCACATGGCCCGGTGCTGCCAGCCGCCCCTCCAGCACAGCCTCTGATACAAAGAGCAGCGCACACAAAAGCCCAGCGACTCCTCCGTCAGGCTTGCCCAGGCAGCCTCAGGCTGCCGCCGCCGCGGGGGGCTGGAGCTTCTCGGGGCTTCCCCGGGGGTCCCCGGGGCAAACGGGGGCAGCCCTGGCTGTGCTGAGTGGTGGGGGCCCCCGGCCCGTCATCCTGGGGGCCTGGATGCTGGGGCTCCTGACGGCGGCTCCGAAAGCTCCCTCTTCCAACTGGTCCCCAGGTCCCCAGTGGCTGCGCCGGACCTGGCCGGGCAGTGGCCCTGCCGCCTGCCTGGCCTGAAGTGGCCGAGGCTGGGAAGACCAGGGGTGTGGGGTGCAGGCAGGGAGGGGGCGAGGTGACAGATGCCGGCCTCCTCGCCAGGTCAGTTATGTTTGGCGGAATCCCTGCTCGGCCCCGAGAGCGGAAACTCACCACGTCGCCACATGGTGCATTGGGAGCCGCTGTCTCTGAAAGGCAGCGGAGAAAGACTGACAGGGCCACCGTGGTTGCCTGGGTGACAGGGACACATTGATAAAATCTAAAATGGAACCTCGATGACAGCCGCTCATTGGCTGCCGGGAGGGGACTCCTGACGCCGGGGGCGGGGGCGGGGGGCGCCTGGGCTGAGGGGCCGTGGCCAGCGGGGCATTGTCAGGCAGGGACGGGGGCCACGGGCAGAACGGGTGGCTCTGCGGCCCAGGACCCAGTGTCACAGTGGCCAAGCAGAACCACTGGGCCCCTCCTGGCAGGTCTGGCTTCTACTCTGGGCACCCTGCGGCCCTTTCCCAACACACTAGCCACAGGGATCTCAAACGTCCCTCTCTGCTCTACCCGGTGCCCCTGCTGCTCTCAGAATAAAGGCCAAACTCCCGACTGCCCTCCGTGCCCCAACTCCTGCCGACCGTCTGGGCTCTCTGAGGCTCCCGACGCCCAGCCCCCTGGCTCCCGTCAGGTCCCTGAAGCCACCCTCTCTTCCAGGCCTTCCGGGCAGTGCCCTTGGCCAGAGGTGCCCTCCCCGGCCCCTCTGCACCCACCGGATGCTACCGCCAGCATCACGTCCGAGCCCCCTGCACGCCCTACCCTGACTTTCTCTGCCAGACATGCCCTCCTCTGAGATGATCCGTTGATTTACTTATCTGCTCCAGCCCCCAACTGCAGCGCAAGCATCCCGGCCCTGCCTGGCTCAGGGCAGCACCTGGCCCACTGCAGGCACCCCATCATTTTGTTGCAGGAGTGAAGGGTCCTGGAGAGCGGGACGGAAGGGTCCTCCTGAGCACACCACACTCACCCCGCCTGCTACTTGGGGTCCCTGGTCTGCTCAACACTGTTGACAAAGCAGTGGTCCCATCGCATCCTTGTGAGGAGGGCTCGCTCCCCCTCCCCCAACCACAGATGAGGAAACAGAGCTCAGAGAAGACCCCATCACCGTGTGTGAGGGACGACGTCCAGGCCCATCGGCCTCAGACAGGAGTGGCTGCCACCAGAGTGCTGGGCCTGCGTGTCCTGCGCCGGCGGCCGGGCATCCAAGGCTGGGTGCGGAACTGGGCCTGATCGCAGCACCCCCCGGCAAAGCCAAAAACGAAGTCACCGGCCTCAGGAGGGAGTCTCCTCCGTCCGCCATCTCGGATGCGCTGCCTCTAGAGCAGTGGCTCTCCCCCCGGGGCGATTCTGCCACCACCCCGTGCCCCAAGAAACAGTGGCCATGCCTGGGGACACCATGGGTTGTCACAATGGGGAGGGCGGCGCTACGGGCCTCTAGTGGATTTAGAGGCCGCCAAACACCCCACAGTGTACAGGACGCCCCCCTCCGCCGGGAGTGATGCAGTCTAGCGGCTCTGCAGGGTGGCTCTCCGTAGGAAGTGCCGCCGTGGACGGCAAGAAGGGAAGGACGTTCGCGATGGCTCAGTCGAGCGGGGAGCGTGAAGCCCAGTGAGGGGACGGGCACGGACAGCATCATCAGGACGGCCGAGCTGGATGCAGCGTGGGGCACAGTCCACCAACCCAGCCTGGGGAGAGGGGAGCTGCTGGGTAACTGCGCTGGTGACGAGGCAGGCGAGGAACGAGGGCAACATGGCGGTCTGCCGAGGGTGAGGGGCCTGTCTGCCAGCCTCCCTGAAGGGCCGTCCGCCCTCCCCCAACAGGACATCAGCTTCCCTCTCACGCCTGTGGCAGAGGAAGCCGGCTGTTCCTTTGAAAGGAGGCAATTACTGGCTGGCACCTTTGTTTCTGAATTTCCCAGGCTGTAAGCAGGCCTCCAGAACCTCCGTGGGACTGGCCACCAGAGCCCGAGGGCCGGCTTTCTCAGAGGCTCCCACAAAGCAGCAAAGCCAGCGGCCTCACTGCGCATAAAGGGCAGAGGTCAGGCGGCCGTGCCGGGAGGGAGGGGGCGGCTGGGTCTGGCACCAACAGTCCTCTGGTCCTCAGTTTTCCTCATCTGTGAAATGGGAACACTAAGCTGGGCTCTGCCTATGTCCCAAGGGGATGAGGACAGCTCTCACGTAGCACCTGCTGCTTCTCAAACGTGCCGGGCACGCTCCACCTCTGAACCTTTGCACTGGCTGTCCCACTGTCTGACGCTCCCTACTCCAGATAGCTGCACGGCTCACCCCTCGCCCGCCTTTCCTGCCGCTGTCTGGTTAAACAGCGCCGCCTCCAGAAGGCCCTCCCTGACTACCCTCCCATCACTATCCCCTTTACCCTGCTTTATTTTTCTTCATAGCACTTGTGGACAAGAAATGTTGCTGGCACTTCAGTAAACACTTGTGGACAAGAAATGTTGCTGGCACTTCAGTAAACAGAGAATGCTGCTGCCATCAAGCTGTCAGCCACTGTAGCAGCCCCTGAAGGTGCACCCTGAGGGGATTCAAGATGGAGAAAAACAGGACACCCGCCCTAGACAGTGGAGATGCACATCTAAGGAATAAGTTCTTATTATTCCTATGGGACTCTTGCATTGTCCCATACGTAGAAAAGCCCTAAAATCACTAACTTGAGATGTCTGGGTTTTTGTGATTAGCAGTCATCTCCGACGGTAGAGCACATCTTTCCCAGCAAAAAGCCCTCTACCTCCTGGCTTCTCCCTCCCCTCTTGGCAGCAGGTCCCTCAGGGCTGTCGCAGAGGCTGTCTCCCAGGCCACAGTCCTCAGTGAGGTCCAGATAAAACATAACTCGCAACTTCTGGGCTGTGTGCTTTTCTTCAGTCGACACGCTTGTCACCACCTGACATATCATATTAAAACCCGATTTCTCTGTGCGTTTGCTGCCTGACACAGTAGCTCTGCAAAGGCAGCAGGACAGGTCCCTGTGGTTTCCTTATTCCTCCCACACCCACAGATGCTCAGGAAATAATGGCTGAGAAGCAGAGGGGGAAGGCAGAACCAAGGGGCCCTGATGTCTTTGCTCTCTGAAGGTGCAGGGTGTCATTGCCTGTGAGGTCAAGTGTGGCCAGCCTCAAGCAGCGGTGGTTACTGTGGCCAACCCCTGACCATGACCGCCATCACTTATGTGCCCGAACTGGAGTGAAGCCGTGGGTGTGTGTGGACCCACGTGCAGAGGGACGGTGTAAGGGTCCGAGTGCCGAAGTAACGGAGTGCGCAGATGTCCGGGAGTCTGCGTGTGTGTGTGTGTGTGTGTGTGTGTGTGTGGTTGTGCAGGAAGTGTACACACAGGGGCGCGGGGTGTGCTACAGCATCAGGCAGTGTTCACACCAGGATCTGGGTTCAAATCCCAGCTCTGCTCACCAGCTGAGAGTCCTGAAAATGTGACGCCTGTAAAATGGGCCTATAGTTCTGCGCGGTCGTGCAGAGGTGGGACGCTGCCAGCGTTCTGCCAACAGAAGCGACAACCCTTACTGCTATGTGTGCTGTGGCTGCAGAGCGTCCATGTACGGGGTTACATGAGCGTGTGAACGTGTGTGGACCCCCCGATTCTCCGTCCTCCAGCGGTGCCCCTGAGGGTACCCAGCCCCGAGCTGCTCAGGGAAGCCGCGCCCGCGTGCCCACCCCCAGCCCTTCTCACAGCCTCAGCCGCCTCAGGCATCTAGCTGGTCGCTAGACCACTTCATCCCCATATAGCGCCTGCCACCCGACAGCTGGGGCCCAGCCCCTGCTTGACGGCTCCAGTTCGGGGGCGCACTGCCTTTGTGCAGAAGCTCCCTCTCACCGAGGCCGAGCTCCCCAGTGGGACTTGGGTCTGTCATCCGCCCACCCCCTCGCTTTCCAGGGCCTGGGTCCACATCCACTTCTCAGGGCCTCACAAAGTCTGCCCTCTCCTGGGAGCGGGCATCCCCAGCCCACTTCTAGTCACCCCCACGTGTAGCGCAGACGTCCCCTCCCAGCCCACCGTCCATGCCAACCCCACTCAGGACCAGCTGCCCATTCCTGGTCTTCCATGCCCACCTACTGCCCCATCCAGGGGCCTCCCCTACACCACAGTCTACAGCCCTTCCTTCTGAACATGTCTTACAGAAACATTAACATACAAGACCCTCAGACCACCATCCCCACTTCCACCAAGTACAGTGTGGAAACTGATAGACACTGTCGGCTTCTCCCTTGGGCTGCAGCCTTGGTCGTCATGGGAGCCACGGCTGTAGGCCAGCCCTCGGGGGACCACCAGCCTTGAATCTCGGAGGAACTATGGGCTGAGCCATGGTCCAGGAGGGACCACTTCTACCTGGACTTGTTCTCAGGGGATGTGTCAGCACTACCTCTGGTCCCTGGGGGAATTTTAGGGCCAAATGGGGGGCTAATTTCCCCCGTGGCCTCTTGGGGCCGACCCTAGGTGCTGTTGGGGAGAGTGGGCCAGTGGTCCTGAGCAGGTCCAGGGCGGATGGTACAACAGTACCTGTATCGGTCAGTGGAGAGGCTGCTTCCGGTCTCCAGGGAGCTCCTGAGGTGGCAAAAGTGAGACAGGATTACCGGTGACCCCAGACAACAAGCCCCTCCCCGGGGGGCCATGCCAGCGCAGGCCATGCTGGGTGGTCCCAGGTCAGGTCCTGGGGTAGGTGAGCAGCCCTGGGGAAAGCCTGTGGCCCCCGCATGCAAGAAACCATGTGCTTTTTTGTCCTCTGACAGGTCAGCCAAGACACCGCCCTGTGCCCACCCCACATGCCAGTGCAGGGGCTCAGTCCCAGGGGGCCCTTGGCAATGACAAGTCCAACTGCTCCCTGTTCAATGGGGACGCCGAGGCCCAAGGTCCCACAGGGAGTCTCCCAGCGGAGGCTCTTTGCAGGCAGAGCTGCACCCTGGGGTGTGGCCTGGGCCTGCCTGCCAGCTGGCAGGTCTGTCCACAGCCCCCGACCACAGACAACCCCTTCCCAGCATGAGCTGGCCTCTGCCCCCTCATGCTCCTCTCATCATTCCTGCCCCAGGGCCTTTGCACTTGCCGTTGCCCCTGCAATGGAATGCTCTGTCCCCATCACATCTGACAACTTTCCAACTCCAGGAGGCCTTCCCTGTCTATAGCAGCCCTCCCCCGCCCTTCGGTACCCTCGCCCCCGACTCGTTCTCTTTCAGAGCCCCACGTGAAACAGCCTGAGTCATCTATCTGTTTGCTCATTCACTCCTGTCTGCCCGTCAGAGTCCCCTCCAGAAGGCAGGGCCCCGTGTGTCCTGGTCATTGTCCCACTGAGGGGACCGGCCATGACGGTGCCTCCTTTGATCTGTCACCTGCTACAAACCTGGTCAGAGGTGGGGAGGGGAGTCAGAGTGGGGGGGCCCTGCTGAGGCCCCACAGACGCCCGTGAGGAAACAGGCTCCGAGCAGGTAAGTGCTGTGGGTCCCCTGCTGTACAGCCTGGGTGGCACGGAGACTCAGTGTGTTTGCCTGAGACCAGCATGTCCTCCCCAAAGAGGCCCGGACCACGGGCAGGGGCCAACACCCCCATGCCGGGAGCCCTGGCAGAGAGGCTCGGGGTCCTGCTGTGGGTCTGGGCTGCGAGCCAGCCCACCTGGGGTCAGATCCCACCCCACCCCCGACCAGCCACGCGCATTTGGTACAAGTGCCTCTCTGCTCAATGTCCTCATTTGTAAAACAGAAACGCGAGTACAAAGCTCCTGTGGGCAAATAACTGATCTGAAATGATGTCGAGAAACACGAGCCTCTGCCGGCTCTGCTTGACGCCATGCCCGGTGACCGGGCCTTCGGGCCCGGGGTGCCTTCCACGAGGCAGGGGCCCAGCTCCCCGGCACACCCCGTCCCTGCCCTCCTGGGCAGCCGCTGCTGTGACACAGGACACGCCCCTGGAGGCCGTGTCATTGGGCTACACACCTCTCCTCCGATGCCACGCTGCTTCCCACGTGGGCCACAGCCCTCCGTTGTGGGTGCCCCGCATGCCTCTCCCCACCCAACACCCAGAAGTCCAGGGCACCTGCTCCGAGTGGGCCTGACCTTGGCACCGTGGGCCTCGCCCTTCTGGGCCACCGCTGGGAGCCCACCACGGGTCATCTGAGCTTCGGCCTCGCTCCCTGACCCTCCTTCCACATCCCCGCACTGACCTGTGATTCTGCTACTTCCTGTCCGGCTGAAGCATCGTTGGTTGCCGGACCCCACGTGCAGCAGATGGGATGCCCCAGAACCTGCCTCAGGCACACCCCATTTCTCCAGCGTCAGCTGAAGAGGCTACAGACGGCTCCCCCCTCCCCTGGAGCCAGAGCCCACTTGGGGCCACACACCATCGGCTCAGCACCTCTGCCTGTGTGTCAGCAGGCCTGGCTGGGGATCACAAAGAACAGAGGACATGAGGGATGATGTCAGGATGCCCTCGAGGCACTTTGCTGGACTGTCACTGCCCTGTGCCCACTCTGGGGTGGACAGCGGCTTTCGAGGATGGAGAGGGCGGGGCTGGCAAGACAGGCCTTCCCTCCCTCCCAGGCCAGGAACCGTGCTGGGACCTGTGCTGGGAGAGGTGAGGAAACCTGGCCTCCTGGAAGCCCCAAGTCTGGACAATCCCCCAGCTGGCTGCTCAGACATGGACATGCCATGCGAGGTAACACCAATGTGATGTGACAGGGACACAGCCAATGGTGCTGGGGTTCCTGGAGGGCACTCTGCCCAGGCCCAGGGCTGCCCTCCCCAGCTCCAGTCCTGCTCTGACTACATCGTGATAACACAGCACCATCTCGTCCTGCTGCAGCCAGTCCACCTAGTGAGTGCTAGGTTCTTTCTCCAAATGCTTCCTCTCCTAACCCCTGCGTGAACCTCACGAGGCACATGGAATCATGAACCCCCTTTACAAAGGCTGACCATGCGGCCCAGGGGCTCCCTGTACATGGAACACCACTCCATTCCCTGCCTTTCCATCCTGTAGCAAACTCCTATTCACCCTCCAAAACCCTGCTCAAAGGTCAATTCCTTTGTGCAGACTTCTTTGCCTACTTTATCCCCCTAATCAGACTCCTTCCTTCCTTCCTTTTTTCCTCACTCCCTCCTTCCCTCCCCGCTTCATCCCTCTCCCACTCCTTTAATGACAGTGAATATTTTTTGAGCAGTTCCTATAGACTAGGCATTGGTATTAACAGTTGACCAGTGTCACCTCATTTGGTTGTCAGCACAGCCTGTGAGGGAGGCACGGGGACACCCCACCACATTGTGACACTCGGGTCCAAGATACGGAAGGGTGCACAATAATTCCCCCCCAGGCAGTAGTGTCCACAAGGCACACACGTGCAGACGGGGACCCTCCCAGACGTGCAAGGCTGACCTGGCCTGCTGTGGCCCAGCTCTAAACCCTGTGACAAGCGGTGGTCCCTGCCTGGGCTCCCCATTCCTCCCCACCCATGTCCCGCCCATCCCGGGGAACCCCTCGGTGGCCTGAACCCCTCGGCAGTCCCCCTCTCAGTGTGCTGCGGACCCTGACAGCCCAGCTGGGACTGGCTCTGAATGGGGACCCAACCTCTGTCCTGTGCCCTACCAGGTCCACGCAGCCTTGCTGGCCACAGACTGAGGCCCACTCTGCCCGTCACCCTCCTTCCCCGCTCAGCCCAGCTGCCAACAGGGGGGGCACGGCCCAGCGCCTGGATTGGAAACCAATGGCCTGGGACATGCCGGAGTGCCTCTTTGCCTCAGCCTCCCCATTTGGAATGCGGGGCGGTGGTAACAGCTCCACCTCACACAGTCACTGTGAGAAAGGTGAGGTGCGGCCCACGGAGCAGAAGCGCCTTGTATACCAGAAGGTGTAGAGCAGGTGTGTCTGCGGTATCACATGCTATTGTATGATTACATCCAATAACGTTTAGTGAGATGTTAGAGACTAGAGGTTACAACGTGAATTCTAGAGCCAAGAGGGCCGGGGTTCAGATCCCAGCTTTGCCACACACTAGCTGTGTGACCTTGGGCAAGTTAATGAACCTCTCTGTGCCTCAGTTTAGGGTCCTCTTTTATTGTGTGTCTTAGGAAGATTAAATAGGTTAATACATTTAAAGCACTTAGAAGAGCGCCAGGCACAGAGTCAGTATTCCATAAATCCAGCTACGACCAGTATAGAACTCAAAACAGGAGCATATTATGTATTATATGAAGGTGTGATATGGACAGTATACGAATGATCTTAATGTGTTGTATTAACACACCAATTCTATATTAATAGATGTTTGTTTTACCCACATATCTAAAATCCTCATTTACAGGGGAAACGGGCTCTGAGTGGCGACCGCGCAGTACCATGGTCTCTTTTATTTATTTATTTTTTTACTGTACGCAGGCCTCTCACTGCTGTGACCTCTCCCGTTGCGGAGCACAGGCTCCGGACGCGCAGGCTCAGCGGCCATGGCTCACGGGCCCAGCCTCTCCGCGGCATGTGGGATCTTCCCGGACCGGGGCACGAACCCATGTCCCCTGCATCGGCAGGTGGACTCTCAACCACTGCACCACCAGGGAAGTCCCATGGTCTCTTACTGAGGTGTGGTGGTCCCACGTCCAGAGCTCTGTCTGCTCTGCTGGGCTGCCGCTCCTCCCCCAGCATCTCTGGAGGCCCCTGGACCAGGCTCGCGGACGCGGCACTCTGGGTCAACTGGGCAGGGCTCCAGCCCTCCTCCCGCCTCCAATGCAGGCTCCGGGGAAACAGCCCCTTCCGGCCACCCTGGACAAGGCGACTGCCCTGGGGACAGTCCCTCCTGAAGCCCCTGTCCCCAGCCCTACGTGACCGGGTTCCTGGGGAGGCCACTTCCTTCCCACTCAGAGTAAGCGGGCTGCTCCAGTCCTACTCCCTGGCATGGCTCCAAACGGCGGCCGGCCACCTACAAAGCTCAAGGAGGGGAAAGACGGCTCTGCGCTGTGAGTCAAGAGAGGGTCCCCTGGATGCGGAGGACGGCTATGACTGGCAGGGCCCGAGGGGGCTCCTGGAGGGCTGGTCAGCTTCTGCTTGGGGGTCTAGGTGCCAGTTACGTGACTGTGTTCAGCTTGTGACGATTCAACAAGCTGTACACCGGATTTCAATTAAAATTTACATTAAAAAAAACAACCAGGGCTTCCCGGGTGGCTTCCCAGCAGCTGTGTGGGCTTGGGAAAACCCCTTCTCCTCTCTGGCCTCAGTTTCCCTCTGCTGAATGAGGGAGCGGCAGTGCTTCCATCCCTGGCCGTGCGGTAGACACATGGACGCTTCTAAGAAATACAGATGTACTGACGCCTGGGTCCAAACCCCGACGGATGAGTCAGAACCTCTGAGGGCTGTGCTCCTGCACCTTGGGTGTTTTTTTTTGTTTGTTTGTTTTTGTTTTTTAACTCTTCACTTTGAAATAACCACACATTCACAGTAAGTTGCAAAATAAAATGTACAGGGAGGACCCATGCAACCCTCCCCCAGCCTCCCCCAGTGATAACATTGTGCACAAAAAAATGTTGCCCACCATCAAGCCATCGGCCACTGCAGCTGACCTGACAGTGCGCCCTGAGGGGATTCAGGATGGAGAAAAAGAGGAGACCGGCCCTAGAGAGTTAAGATGCATATTGAAGGGTAATTTCAATGAGCCCAGACTCTTGCATCTTCCCATACACAGAAAAGCACTAAAATCATTAACTTGAGAAGTCTGTTTTTTTGTGATCAGTAGTCATCTTTTGATGTTGCGTGCATGCGTGCGTGCATGTGTGTGTATCTATGCAATTTCACCAGATGTGTAGCTTTCTGTGACCCCCCACGATCGAGTTCCAAGACGGTCTATCACATGGCACTCGCATGCCACCCCTCCCTCCAGAGCCACACCCACTTCTCCCCCAATCCTTCACTCCCAACAGCCACCAATCTGTCCATCATTTTGTCATTTCAGAATGTTATACAAACTGAATCGTACAGGATATAAGTTTTTAAGACTGGCTTTTTTCACTCACCATAATTCCCTGGAGGCTTATTCAAGCTGTTCACGTATCAACAGTCCCTTCCTTTTTACCGCTGGGTAATATTCCACAGCATGGCCGTACCACAGTTTTTTTAATCCACCCCCCCTGGGAAGGACATCTGGGCAGGTTCCAGGCGGGGGGATTGTCAGGGATAGAACTGCTATGAACCTTCTCCTACAGGTTTTTGTGTGAACGTAAGTCTTCCCTTCTCTGGAACAAATGCCCAGGAGTGCCACAGCCAGGTTGTCTGGTAAGAGTACACTTACTCTGAAAACCCCCCACCAAACTGTCTTCTAGAGTGGCTGTACCCTTGTACATTCCTAGCAACAATGCAAGAGGGATCCAGTTTCTCTGCATCTTGGCCAGTGTTTCGTGTTGCCCCTACTTTCACTTCCAGCCGTTCTGATGGACATGCAGTGAAACCTCACTGTGGTTTTAGTTCAAGTTTCCCTAACAGCTTACAACGCTGACCATCATTTCATGTGTTTATCTGCCACCTGCCTATCTTGTTCTGTGAAACAAAGGTGCACCTTCATTTTTAAAAGCTGCCCAGATGGGTCTAACATGGAACCAGCTAAACCTCTAGGGCCCTCCGAGCCTAGAAAGTTCTGTCAGTTTTACTTTCTATTTTTAAAAATTATTTATTTATTTGGCTGCGCTGG